AAAAAATCTAAATGTTTGAAATTTGAAATTTTAATTTTAAATAATTCTGGGGCCTCTCCTATCTCCTCCTATTGAGCTTCACCTCACTCCCACCATCTCTTAAAGCATTTTAAAGGGAAGCAGATGAATGCCAGAGCCCGTTTCTGCCCAAAGGTAGGTGTTTGAGAAGTGGTGTTACTCCCCTTAGGGTGTCATCTGGTGCAATCTGCATCCCTCGCACCCCCTAGTGATGCCACTCCCTGAGAGCCTTGGGATTTTACATTCTTGATTTTGCAATATCTATATTTTATTTCAAAATGGGATTCAGAATTCTACAAACTGAACACAAATGCAAATTCTTCACATACGAGTTGTGTTTAAAGTTTTGGTAGTAGGTGTAACAAAGAAGTTTGAGTGAGGGCAAGGTTCAAAGGCCTGTGCACACCTGCAATCAAGATTACACTGCACCAAAGTGGTGCAGTTTAAGGGCACTTGTTGTTACCTTTTTTTGCCTCACAATAACCAAAAGGACATATCTCATCTGATTAAAAACAAGGAGGGGAACCAGTGAAGCAGAACCACCCAGATTATATAATTTTTTAAAAAATGAAATATATCAAGCTTGACTTTTGCAATAATAGAAGGAAAGGAAGAAGTAAAACTTCTCTAAGATTATCATATTTCAGACTCTGAAACCTCTGTAATGTGACAGGCATATTATGCAAATCCAATTTATTACGTTAGTTGATATGTACAAATTTCTCTGTTTCTAATGTGAAGTCATAGGTTTTCATGGCCGGCATCCTCTGTTTCTGTTCTCTGATTTTAAAATTCATACAGTGCTTTTTCTCAACATAACGCAGTGTCTAAGAACAAAATCCATTAAAAATAGTAACTGTCGGTTCTCACAATTAGAGAACACAGGCAGTAATAGAAAATATCATATATTAAGAGGCAAAACTCTTTGAGACCAGATATGGCAGCAAGAAATGGCTGACAAGTGGGTACAGGTTCATCATAAAGCAGCAACAGAAACATCCATGCAGTCAGTTTCAAAGCTTTTTGTTTTTTAAAAAAACAAAATTTAATCAGTCATATTAAAGTTATCAGTATCTTGTATAGAGGGTATCAGAGCTTGAAAAAGTTACTTTTTTGGACTACAAATTCTCAGAGCCAGCCTGGACAATCTGAGTTGTTGTGTGCCTTCAAGTAATTTCCAACTTATGGCAACCCTAAGGTGAATGTATCACAGGGTTTTCTTGGCAAAATATGTTCAGAGGGGGTTTGTCTTTGCCTCCCTCTAAGGCTGAGAGTGTGTGACTTGCCCAAGGTCACCCAATGGTCTTCCATGTCCAAGTGGGGATTTGAACCCTGGTCTCCAGAGTCGGAGTCCAATGTTCAAACCACTATACCACATTTGCTCTTATTGGGAGCTGTAGTAAAATAAAAGTTAATTTTCCCATGCTCAGGATTCCACTTGTTGTGCCCAAGAATTTTGCTCTACTTTCCTTTCAACTTATTGTCAAAAATTTGAAAAAAAAAATGGAAGTGGAGCATGCGCTGTTTTCTGCAACAGTTATTTCCGATTTTGTGTGCTTGTGTTTTAAAGGCACAACATGTGTAAACATATTAGAGTCTTAAGATTGCTTTATCACATGTTTTATAAAATGTAGTGTACATGGCAAGGTCTGGGATAGTGTAGGGGGAAAATTAAATCATAATCATATTTATAATATTGCACTGTACACATATTCAATGATCCATTGCTAAAATGGTCCAGAAATGAAACTGAATTATGACAGATTCCTGATGTCTTGGTGTTACTTTGCTTTTATGGAGATGAATTCAGAATGTTGTAAACACCTCCATACATTAGTGTATCTTGTTTGTGTTATTGACAGATGCTTTGCCTATATACTTACTAGAAGAGGAATAGCAAAGAAGGGAACACTAGAAGCTAGGCTTCCAGCCAAACTATGTGCTCTTTTAAAGACATAGCTGGTAGCTATGTTTCCCCCTTTTTTTCTTTCTTGAAAATACAGGAAGACCAGTGTAGATTAGCACCACCTCAGGAGGCACAGAGAGGACTTTAACACTTTGCCCCCCTTTCATTCCCAGTTCAGAATGGGTTTGCAAGAGAGAGCAGAGTTTTAAAGTAGGGGTGAGCAAGTATGTGGGGCCAATTATCCCCCAATTCCCATCCATTTCCTTACAGGTCACCCCCAGCATGGCAAAATGCCTCTGTTTTTAATAATAATAATAATAATAAAATTTATTTGTACCCCGCCCAATGGTACACCAATCCGGGCGGCTTCCAGATTAAAAATACAACAATAAAAACATATAATACAAAGAACACCCCCCATCCCCTTAAAACAATATTAAATCACAACAGTTTAAAATATCACACCTTGACTAATTAAAACCTACTACCGAGATAACTAAGCCTGATTTTGATATTCCCTCCATCAAAGATGGGGCCATGTAAGGAACATCTCTTATACAGGGAAGATTGTCTGAAAAGAATAATTCATTTAAGGAAGGTAACTAGTCCGGAAAGGCCTGCCAGAAGAGATCCGTCTTGACAGCCTTTTTAAAGCTCTCTAAAGATGTTAATAGACGGATCTTGTCCGGAAGGCCATTCCAGAGCCTCGGGGCGATGACTGAGAAGGCCCTCTGGGAGGTAGCCGCGAGCCTCGATTTCTGAGGCTGCAGCAAATTCCTCCCGGAGGACCGAAGTGCGCGGGGAGGATTGTACGGGAGAAGGCGGTCCCTGATATAGTTTGGACCCAAGCCATTTAGGGCTTTAAAGGTAATAACCAACACCTTGTACTGGGTCCGGAAACTCATAGGTTTTTCTTCAGAGTCCCTCTCAAATGGTAACTGGAAGTGTCATCACATCAGTTTCTGTCAACGTTTTGAGAGGGATTCCAACAGAAACAGAGATATTTGAAAGTGACAGGAGTTCTGGCTGGTTAGTTTTTTTTTAAGGGAGGGTGCACATTTTCACATGTTGGCTCACTTTCTGTATGGTTTTCAGGTAACTAATACCTGGGAATCGCACCAAAACCTTTGTGACATGGATTGTGGGTTTCTGGGGACTAGTGTGGAGTACAGGGGCAGCAAACGTAGGGTCCAGGAGATGCAAGAAGACCACAGACTACATTTTCTGCACTGTTGGTTTAATCTCTAACATACCCCCTCCCTGTCCATTTTGGCCTCATCTTTCTTGAAGTCCCTACACTTCATATTGAGAAGAAAACTACTTGCTACTTTTATCTTCATAGTAAAAAGCATCCCTTACATGACCATTTTTCACAATTGAAAGACAGGAGAAGTGGGCTGGAGCAGTGATTTATAACCTTTCTCTCTCTCTGCGTCCCACCTCCCACCTGGTGCCTCAACACACAACATTGATGGCATTATTTGTTTTTCTCCTTCTGAGAGGGCAGATGAGGTCCCCTTCTTCAAGCATTCACTGTCCTAGCAGACACAGGGCAAGAGACTGAATTTGTTTTGCTTCTGAACTGGATGGGTGCCTGACCAAATGGAAATTGTGTTTCCATGTAAAGTATTGTAATTATTTTCAAATTTGCATCTTAGTATAAAATTAACAGATGCACACCCTCATCTTCTTCTGTCCTCTTTTCTAGTGATGCATTTTGTGTGTGTGTGTATGTGTGTGTAAAATCCTTAGGTATCTTTCTTACCTGTCAGATGACAGGTGAAGCAAGATGTTTGGACATTATTTTCATTGGCTAGGAAGCATTTCCCCACATGATTCAAACATTCATAAAACTCTATTATTCTCTCCTCTTATTCTTTATTTTAAAAATACTCAGAACTTTTTCACCTTTCTTGGTAGGCATGTTGCTCCAGACACTTGATTATTAGGGATACCCTTTTTTAGCTGTATAATATCAAACTGCTCAAGGTTTTCCAAGTGCAGTCATGCCACAGTCTTATATCTCAGAATAATTCAGCAGGGCATTGTTCTCTTTCATCTGACACTGGAAAGAGCACAATGGCACTTCCAAAGGCTTACTCCTTTGGAGATGATGGCTCTTCAACTCACAAAGAGAAAGCAATATGTTAACAGGCAGGCTCAGAAAGAAAGGAAGGTTTTGTTGTCATGTTACTTGATGTGGCCATTTTCTTGTCTTTGGAAGAATAAGAGTGAATTTAGGACTAACAAAATGAATTTCAACATGGAGGAATGTAAGGTACTGCACTTAGGGCAGAAAAATGAAATGCATAGATATAGGATGGGGTGGGCACGTGTCTTAAAATGACTACATGTGAAGGGCATCTAGGAGTCCTAGTAGACCACAAGTAAGTCAACAGTGTGATGCAGTAGCTCAAAAGGCCAATGTCATTTTAGGCTGCATGGATGGAAGTAATAGTACCACTGTATTTTGCTCTGATCAGACCCCACCTGGAATATAGTGTCCAGTTCTGGGCATCACAGTTCAAAATGGATGTTGAGAAACTGGAGCGTATCCTAAGGAGGGCGACTAAAATGGTGAAGGGTCTGGAAACCATGCCTATGAAGAAAATGACTTAGGGAACTGGATATGTTTAGCCTGGAGAAGAGACAGTTAAGAGGTGATATGATAGCCCTGTTTAAGTATTTGAAGGGGTGTCATATTGAGGAGGGAGCAGGCTTGTTTTCTGCTGCTCCAGAGAACAGGACCCAGAGCAATGGATGCAAGCTATAGGAAAAGAGATTCCACCTCAACATTAGGAGGCACCATGAGAATATACAGTTTTAATACATACCATGAGTTTTTAAGAAACCAAGTACGCAGAAAATATTGTGCAGATTTTAAAAATTTGGATGGCTGAACATGCAGAAACAGAGAGAAAATCAAAAATACATTGTGTGTTAAACAAATTAGGTGAATTTTGCAAGTTGATGCAAGATTAGGAAAAATACATTAAAATATTGCACATTTTAATATGGGAAGAAAATCCAAAGTCTTACAATCAAATATGAAACAAAGATGGGGAGGTGAAGCTGGGATTTGGAGAAACACAAAAAAATTGAGAATTCCAAAATGAATTCCTCCCTCCATAAAGTATGAAAAAGAGGGGTGAATTCCAAGGATCTGTAAACATATTTATGACACAGAGAATGTATATTATTAATAATTAATATAATCTCCCCAATTAAAGTTATGCAAGGGGGGGCAAGTACTGGGGACAAGGGCCTCAATGATACAGGGCGAATTATGGTGATAGTTCAAGAACCCATTATGGGCAGAAAAAAGAGATTCAACTGGGGCCAACTTCTTTCTTTCATTTAGTCTCAAAGGTGCTACAAGATCTCTGCATACTGATTCTACAGATTAACACGGCTATATCTTTGAATATCCTTCTGATATTGCTGAATTGCAGTCCAAATCTTTCTTCACCATTGCTGATGCTGGCTAGGCCTGATGGTAGTTACAATCCAATAACACCTGGAGGCCTGCAACTTTCTCACTCCTGCAATAATTCATTGAGAACTGCATTAGTACTTCCTTTACAGCAGTTTTTGTTAGATGTAAGATGTTTAAAAAACCTTTTAATCAGTCTTGAGAAATCTTTTTTTAAAAAAGCCCTATCTGTTCCAAAGTGAAAACCCTTTATCTCTTCCCCACTGTTTTCTCCCCTTGCGAATGCTATCCAGCTGCAAAAGTGTACTGGAGATCATTTCACGGATGATACACAGCATTCATAGAAAAAGTATAGGAAGGATCAAATTAATGCAAGATAATAAAGAATTAGCCCTGATCCAAAGAGTATCTTGCAGTTCACATCTCCACAATTTCTTCTGCACCACTTCCCTTCCCTTAAAGTGTCAGGACAAGCTTCCATATGCTTCATTTATTGACATTAATGTTACATACAGATGCATTCCTGCATCTTATTTGAAAAGCAAGTTCTGGCAGCACTGGAGAGTAGAGGGGAAAAACATCCATTCCATGCAAGAGCAAATACAAGTTGGCTATCAGAATTTGGTTTGATGGGATTTTAAAAAAAGAAGAGTTAATTGGTAGAGCCACTGGACCATACCTGTCTTATTCTGCCTTCTATATCTCACCTCTCATTCCTTTATAGTCCCACACTTGGGAACCTCCTGTGGTCAGCTTCTGCAAACTCTTCTTCCACATGAGAAAGCAGGCATTGGGTTAGAGGAATGCTGGAGTACCTATTATCTCCCTGTCCAAAAAATGAATCCATTAACAGGATGGAGCAAAGGAATAAATGCATTAAGAGTCTTAGGAGATAACAAACAGAAGCATTGCAGAGTCTGTACCTGACAGTCCCCTGTTTAACCCAAGCTACAGCACCAGGCACGAATGGGACAGAAGAGAAATATATTGGCTAATTGATCCCATTTTATAATTCCTTCTATTACTAGAAAGAGGGTGTGTCT